TCAGAAATGGATATTATATAATAGCTGCTTTTATGAACATACACCGGTTGGGAAACACTGGTTTAAACTATGAAAAACAGTTTGAATCATTAAAGGTTTATAGTTACTGATGCTGACTGGCAATGCACTGTTCAGTGTCACAGCGTAACAAAGAGATCATTGTCAGATAACTGTCTAGGTGATTTCAGAGGCACTACATTTCACATACAATGAGAACAGAATTTGGGCAATATTAACAAAAGAAACAACCACACCCATGAGTTCACATGAATTTTGAGTTGAGTTCAATCAGGCTCTCATTAAGCAAATGGCCTTCTAACAAAGGTATTCCCAAACCTGTTTGTTAGCCAAACCTGTCTGGCCTAAAATATTTACTTGAAGCACCCCCTAAGATTTTAAGTTATTATTTCAATATTTTAGCAACAAATGCTATATGCAGTTCATTTGAATTGCATGTTCACGGTTTTCTGATGTTTGGTTAATTGTCACATAACATCCAAGTCAACAAATAAAATAGTTCACCTTGTTTTAATAATTTAATTTAATTGTTTTTATTTTATATTACATTTTTATTTATTAACTATTATATTTAATATATATTTATATATTATTTTTTTAATATATAATTAATATATTTATATATTTTATTATATAATATTCTATTTATTTATTTATTTTTATTATATTTATATTTAATTTTTAATTAATGAATATATTTAAATTAATTATTAGCTTTTTATTAAACCCTCCTTCACAAACCCCCTTTTAGGAAACCCTGATTTAGCAGATGATAGCCTCACCTGAACTTTAGTTCCACCTCCTGAGACTTTGGAGATGTAGCTCATAATGTACTTTGCTGCCACTGTCTTTCCTGCTCCACTCTCTCCGCTGTATTACAAACACATTCAGATCACATATAATGCAAACCTTTGATGCGATACAAATACTTTAAAGGTGTCTCAGGGTGTGGGCGCCAGATCCTTGATCCCTGACCTGATAATGGCACACTGGTTCTCTGAGTCAATCATCATGTTGCGGTACATATTGTCGGCCAGAGCGTAGATGTGGGGGGGATTCTCATACTGCGCCTGTGAATGACAGAATACACACACATCGCGGGGTCTAATACTACTGTCCTGGAAAATTAAACGTCACATTTGCATGAAATCGAGGTAGAGGCATTATTCCGTAACCAGTAACACATCCTGATTTACATATGCAGTTTTTATGATTTGGCCATCCAGGGGAAGATGTTAACAAATACAGATTCGTAGGCAGTTTTTGGAAGCACAACAGCAAGACCGGACATGCAATGACATTGCTCTGCTCCATCTGACTTAAGTCCTGTTCACAGCAAGAACGATAACTATAAAGATAACGATATTAGCGTCCACACCAGCGAACGATATCGTCTGTTTATTCTAAGCGCACATGCGTCTGCCGATTTAAATTCTTGAGCTCATTACAGCAGGATGGATTCTGTTTGGCTGTCAGTGTTTTATCGTTCATCAGCTGGAAAAAAATCGTTTTGAAAGTGATCACAACGATATCGTTCCTCTGTATCGTTATCGTTTTGGTGTGAACTATGCTATTCTTTAATATTGAGAACGATTTTTAGAACTATATCTTTATCGTTATCTTTATAGTTATCGTGCTTGGTGTGAACGGGCCTTTATCCTGCGGGAATGATTATTCATCTGAACTTTAACTTCATTTATTAGTATCCATGTATTTATGGCATAGTACAGTAAAGCATTATGTACTGGACACTAATAGAAAATGTATATTGTACTTACAGCTCCCTGATACAGTTCAATCTCACGGTCTGTGAAATACGGCAGCTGTTTAAAAGGGTTCACTGAGATCAGCACAGGACCAATGTATGTCTGAAGAGTTGTGGTTATGGCAAAAACAAATGCTGGTAGGTTGACAAAAAGAGATGTGAGATGAGCTATGAGCATATTTTTTTTTTTTTGCTCTCAAACATGTTAATTACATTTGGAGAGCAGGGAAAAGGGACACAATTCTCTAAATCAGATATTGGCACACATAATTGCCTGTGATACTAGATAAATGTTTTTTCTTTTTTCTTTTTAAATATATTTTAAAATGTTCTCTTTCTGGTCCAAGTCAAATGAGCCCAAGTATCTGTAATTTTCAGATATGATATAGCTGAAGACTCTTATGCGCAACATTATGCATTTATTTTATAGAAGAAAAAAAATAGTAATATTGTGAAATATTTTTACAATGTAAAGTAACTGTTTTCTTTTTGAAAATATATTTTAAAATGTGTTTTATTCCTGTGATGGCAGTCTTCAGTTTCACATGATCCTTCAAAAATCATTCTATTATGATGATCTGTTCATCAAGAAACACTTCGAATTATTATCAGTTGAAAATGGTGCTGCTTAATGTTTCTGTGGAAACAAAATATTCTTTGACAAGTAAAAAGTTCAAAAAAACAAAATTTATTTGAAGTTCAAATCTTTTGTAACATTATGTCTTTACTGTCTCTTTTGATCACTGTAATGCATCATTTCTGAATAAAAGCATTCATTTCTTTAAAAAATGATTTACTGACGCCAAACTTTTCAACTGTAGCGTATATTTAAGTATGCCAGACCAAATAACCAAATAATTATTGTTCATTATAGACATAAGGATACGAAAATGAAGTCATCCATGTATCTTTTCTTGAGGTTATCTGTGATGGCATCTTCACTGATCTTGGAGAGGAGGACCATGTCGTCCACACCACTGACCTTCACATTTTGGGTCTGCCAGTGATATTTCTCTTTGCTCCCCTGTATGAGAGAGAACAATTATTAATTTAAACATATCTCTATGGTCACCTGTGAAATGAATGAATGCTGACACACTATTGGGTTACATAAAGATTATTTAAATGCATTTTGCTACTTTATACAGTTGGTGGCACTGTGTTAGACAAGAGGGCTGGTGTTCAGCAGAATTAATAAGTTAACACGTTGATTAAAGGGTTAATACGTGTAAGAATATACTGATTAACGAAGAGCCAGCAACTACGCACAGAGGAGGAAATGACATTTATAAAATACTCTCTGTTATGAGCACTTTCATAAGACTTGTGAAGCGTTAAAACCTCTGACACTTTGACAGGACAGGACTATGACAATAACAAAACCTTAAATCTGCACATATGTCATATGCAGTGCAGGTGTACAACAAAACAAAAAAATGTGAGCCATATTTCTCACCCTCAAGCCATAAACAATGCAAATGCTTAGTCAGGTGATCAGAGGCGGACAGTAACTAAGTACATTTACTTGAGTATTGTACTTAAGTACAATTGTAAGTTGCTTCAGAGGTATTGCAAGTATTACATACAACAATAATAAAACAGTGCATTGACAAAGGAAATGTACTTTTGGTACTTAAGTACTTTTAAAAGCAAGTACTTCTGTACTTTTACTTAAGTAAAAATCTGTCTTTACAACTTTTACTTGTAATGGAGTAATATTTGACCAGCAGTAACTGTACTTTCACTTAAGTAATGGAGTTGTGTACTTTGTCCGCCTCTGCAGGTGATTAAGAATTAAGTATGGCCAATGTAATCTCTGATAAATATGAGTATTTCCTCCTTGCATAAGTCATTAACAATAATTCTGAGGAAAACTTGGGCTCCCCTCCCAGATCCTAAATAGAAGGGAAAAACGACTTTGAATTCAAATTACTATTATTATTATTATTATGTGCTTTCACTGACATTCAACAGAATAGGGCAAATAAATTGGACAGATTTCCATTGGCCTCTCATGAATTCTAGGAACTTCCAAAGTTATTGTGCGTTACATTTTCTTGTCAAAACCGAATTTGATGGTGTTTGACAGGCAAAACACTGTCCACCTAAATATCTACAATGTATTTCAGAAGTTATTGCTAGACTGTTTCTTCAGGCCATACTAATGATTTGGGATTTACTTTGCTAGACAGGTAAACAATGAAATAAATGTCTAAAATCCTTCCGCTACATTAATTTGTTTTGTCGACAGTGAAAATGCAACTTCTATGTTGTAGTAGTACTGTAGTAGACAGGTCAATGGAACAATACTAGCGTTGGGAGCAAGATTTAGAGTCAGCTGCAACTTTTAATTTTATAACTCAACTTAAATTGTTATTTTAATAGGTTATTTCAGGTTTTAAAAGCACTTACCATGATGGATTATAGGCACTTCCTGTATCACACCCTTGATAACATTCAGTCCTGTGTGGACTCTTCGAGGAAATCTTGCAAGCTTCAGGAGAAACTCCAGGATTTATCTAGTCGTCCATTTGATATTCCACCTATAACCTCCGATACGATTTCTTAATTCTATCCAAAAAACGACCCTGGATATAGTGTTTCATGTATCGGGAACACTTGTGAAACGATTAAATAATTGGTTTAACGGGTGTTGTCCATGCATCGGCAAGTGTAGGCAGGTACTGGAGAGTTTTTCCTTCTTTCTGTTGCGAACGAATCGCAGATACTTGCACATAACGGCGCCACCCCACGATCCTGAACGGATTTACCTGTGCCACAGGTAATCACAGCACACTACAAACGCAAGAAAATGAGCCTCTGGCCTCGGCTGGAGATAGTGTGGTGAAACCATTTTAGTGCCTCACAACAATTTTCTATTTATAAATGTAGAAATAAAAGAAATGTTATTTAGAAAATTTCTAACCACTACTCTGCTCGGTGCAAATAATTTTTTTCTGATATCCATCTTCCATCATATCAGCTAGTACAATAAAAATGTATTTTGTACAATAGTAAGTGTGTAACAATATAGCATTTTGAAAATTTATTATTTTACTAAATACTATTATTTATCAATTACTACATTTTTGTAAGTGATCCACCCAGACATAGGGTATGTAGGATTGTGATATTCACAACACGTGCACCAAAAATAAAAGAAAAAATATAAATTTCAGGGTCTCAAAAGACTTTTAAAAAAATATACAATTTGTGGAACGGGAACATTTAATTTATTATACAAAGGAACATTCACAAGGAAGGTTATTCACATGATCTTAAGAGCTGGTCCGTTTTACAAGTTTCAAAAAAAAGTTTGATGCTGAAACAATAGAAGTATAAAATAGTAAAGAGAAAAGATAAAGCTTGTTGAAAATGTACACAACGTCTAAACTGCCTTCGCACAGGCAAACAAATTAAAGGAAATTGTGGCTCCCGCTAAGAGAATGAATTAAAACTGTTAAGAGAAGCACTGATATCACAGGGAAATAAGACGAGGCTAAACACATGCCCACGAAAATAAAGAAAAATAATAATAAAAAACTAGAAATTTTAGGCAGGGAATTTTATACCTGTACATGTGTAGGAAATAAAAACAAAGACTGTTGATTTAATGTGTTCGCTTTTTCATAGCCCTTTCCATTTCTCCTGTGCAACAGATTCTGAACAACTCCTCACTGTTTATATATAAAAAAAAAAAAATCCAGTGGCTCAGTCACACATTTATACATGGCTGCCCAGCTCAGATCAGCTGTAAAAATGCACATTATAAATTCAGGTTAGCTGTACAAACTAGCACGACTAGGATTATAATGTGCCAAACAAAATAACAAAATGAAATGAAATCCACAGAGAACGTTGAGAAAGTGTAATTTCATATGAAATATCTGTAAAAGGGCAATAAATAGTGTTCATATCTCGCAGTCCACCATATTTCAGTCCAGACCTTTGGAAACTCAAAATAGTTTATACATTTATTTTGACCTAGAAAACAGACCAGGTTATTTTAATTAAGTCCTAATTATTTTATGTCATCTTCTATATGAACTCTCATATGATTAGTGGAGTCACTGATCTGTGTCTTTGGTGTTTTGATGTTTAACACATCCATATTGAATTAAAAAGCTTCATTAACCCTATCACGTTCAAGCGCTTCTCACAGGGTCAAATGAGAGCACTTTAAGCAAACCTTCCATGGCTTAACGGTCTCTTACTTGTGCGGCACTAAGCTGAAGATCTCTTAAACAGTTCATGTAACACTGACTTCACAAAGCTGAACAATACAGCAATGTTTACCATCCGATTCCCTCATTTCATAATGCAATTTATAGGCTTTGATACAGCATCTCCTGTTTTCCACCCTACTGTATGAGTGTGTGTTGAAATTCTGAATGTTATTCAACCAAAGTATATATATATCATTAGTGGTATAGCAACAAAAAAAGCTGATGATGATAATATGGGGTGTTGAAGTCAGTCAGTACACAGGTGAGTCACAGAGCAGCGTAGTGTTTAAATGAGGCACTGGAAAGCTGGATAAAACTCAACTCTGGGTATCCAGAGTACTGCAAGATGTCATGACAAAAAAGGGAGGGTTTAAACGAAAGGAAAGGATGTTGAAAAAAGACGACAAACAGTTACTTCACAGCTCAAGACCTCTTCAGTCAAGGTAAAAAAAAAAAAAAAATCTTTAAAGTTAATCAGTCTGAAGGGTGCAGAAACACAGGGGTGGTTTTGGGAAGTGGGCGTTAGGAGTGGTTTTTAAAGTGGTGCAGCCTTTTTTCCAGTTTTAGCGCTCTAGTCCATGTGCACCCCGGCCACCGCTCACATGATGCCGTTGGTGAGATACTGAAAGCCGTCGTACAGCTTGGTAGTGATGGAACGCATGGAGCCATCCACCATCTGCTCCACCAACACCTGCAGCTGCTCCTCCGTCAGGTTCATGTGGAAACGCTCCTTCAGGTTACGGATGGTGCTGGAGCCGTGGAAACAGGGAAGCTGAGAACCTGCACAACATATAAAAAATTGAATGATAAAGTGTCCTCAGATGAATATAGAAAGACAAAGATGCTCCATCCCCTGAAGCTTCAGACAAACAATACCTTGATGCATGATTTCTACAATCTGGATGACCTTCTCCATGTGCTTGCGTGCAGCGATGAGGCCTTGGAGCATGAGCATCTTATAATAATTGAACATGTCTCTATCCAGACCTCCCATTACCTAAAAGATTAGATTAGATTCAACTTTATTGTCATTGCACATGTAAGGTACAAGGCAACGAAATGCAGTTAGCATCTAACCAGAAGTGCAATAAGCAGTAAGTACAGGATATACAGTGTCTCCAATATGTTACAAATGTACAATAAATATACAGATAAGGCAGTACTATGGACATAATTTACAGATTTTTATATACTATCAGCATGATATACAGATAGGTGTACTATGAATATACTATACAGATGGATTATGTAATAAGTGTACGTACACTATAAGCAGAAACTATGAACATATTCATTTGTAAATGATGTTCATATGTAAGCGATACATTAAGCTGTACAAAACACAAGTGCAAGGGACATTTAAAAAAGAGCATAGAAAATATTCCAGTGTGCAAATGGATCATTCAGTATTCTGGATGTACAGACAGTAGTGCAAGTAATAAGTGCTGAAAAAGCTTTTTTTTTTTGCATCAAAAGAGATGCACATATTTGAAAATTCTTCTACATCCTTCTCTACATTCAATGATGACTTCATCCAATATAAACATAATTTTACTTACATCAACAAATTCACTGGTTAGTTTAAAGGCAGATGTCTCGAAGCCCAGGTTACGTGGAGAGCTGGAAAGGATGAAGCCAAAGTCGATGTGAATGATGTGGCCCTCAGAGTCTAGCAGGATATTTCCATTGTGCCTGAAAAACAAGAGAAAATGGTGGTTATAACTTATCCAAATTATTTTCTTCCAACATGATTCAAGCATGGTCTCACTCACCTGTCCTTGACCTGCAGCAGATAGCAGATGAGACAGTAGCCAGCGCAGCTCTGAACAAAGTTGCGCTGAGCGGTAAGGAATTCCTCTGTATTGTAGTTCCCATGCTCTTGCCGGAAGTAGTCGAGCAATGAAAGCTGACTCTGTTTCTTCACCTGGTGAATGGACACAGCGTTGACCACCGGCTCAATCATACCACTGTCTGAGGAGATGACCAGGATCTTGTAGGGCTTGATCCACAAGGGAACCCGTTCTTGTTCCCAGATAATCTGGAAGACCACAGATGGTAAGAAGATCCAGTATAGCAACAATGCCTGAGGAGGCCTCACTTCAAAAAACACATTGTAAACTACTGTTCAAAAGTTTGGGGTCAGTAAGATTAAAAAAAAAATAAAAAAATTAATAACTCATAATCATAACTCATAATATTCAGCAAGGATGCATTGATCAAAAGTGACAGTAAAGACATTTATTAATTTATAAAGATTTCTATTCCAAATAAATGCTGTTATTTTCAACTTTCTAATCATCTAAGAATCCTGAAAAGAAAATATCAGTTATATAGTTTCTTTATACATTTATTTTGACCTAGAAAACTGTTCTATATTAAGCCACATTATCAACATTGATAATAATAAGAAATGTTTCTTGAGTACCAAATCAGCATATTAGAATGATTTCTGAAGGATCACTGAAGACTGGAGTAATGGCTGCTGCAATAAATGTAGCCTCTTTGAGCATAGGAAAAACATTTTAAAAATCCTACCAACCCCAAACTTTCAACGGTAATATACATTCATATTTTTAAAACATAATATCCTGTAATTTAATATATATTTAAAAAGTATATCCTACAATTGATGATGTGATATAACTAGGGATGAACCAATATATAAAAAAATAATAATAAACTGCTAAATTTTAAAAAAGCTGATAATAAACTAAAAATAAAAGCACTAAAACCTAAAATCAATCATTATAAAGTCTACAAGTGATTTTAGCATCATGACAATATAATGATTGAATAGTGTGAAAAATAGGGGAAATTAGCAAGCACAATGAAATATACAATACTGGCCAATATCCACTATGGTACCGATATATTATGCATCCCAAGTAGGGATGCACGATATTGGATTTTGCCGATATCCGATATGCCGATATTTTTCAACTTATTTTGGCCAATAGCTAGGGTTGGGTATCTTTTGAATTTGATCGATTCCGATTCTGCTCATCGATTCCGATTCTTATCGATTCCTAGTTTACAGAACACTGCAAGAGGAATTTTGCCTATGCTTTAAAAAAAAATACCACAGCAAAAACAACTAGATTAATATAAATTTCAAATATTAAAGTGTTAAAGACAAGTAAACAGTCAGTAATAAGATAGGAACAAACAAATCAATTAGCAATATCATAAATAAATACAACTGAACAAAATTTCAGGTACAGAAACTGTAATTAACAGTTTAAAAACACTGCATAGTTTTCTTTTCATAAATAAAATATAGATTAATCAATTAAAGTTATTAAATATATTCAGTCAAGATCAGTGAATGATTTTATTTTGTTCTTTGATTAATATTAATGACAGGCAGTGCGTTTATTAGGTGCAGAAATTATCTCTTTAACACCGAACGCACGTAGATCTAAAAATACTGTACATGTGTGTTTTCTTTCTCATCTGTTTACGTTCACGTAAGACAAAAAAAACGGCTGTGTTTATGGTGATATACTGACGTAGTTTTCTGCATATTGGTCGACAAATATGAAAGAAGTCAGTTTCGGCCCGGAACAACCTTTTCTACAGTGGAAATACACGGAACGGTTCGAGAACGGACACAAACCGGGAACCCGTACCGCGACCTCTGTTCTCTGTGCTCACGCTTGCGCTTCATGTGCGCTGCACGCAAACATTCCTGCATTCCTTCTTTCCATTCCTGCACTTAAATCGTTTTTAATCACATTAAAATGCGAACACAGGAATCGTTAAGCAGAATCGAAATGCACGCGTCTTATCGAATACCCGGTTCTTGGAAATATGGAACCGGTTTTCGATACCCAACCCTACCGATAGCCGATACCGATATATTTCCTTCTGTTTGGAAAAAACACCAAGTCTCTCCTGTGCAGAAATTATAAGCAAATTATTTTTAATTTTGGTTAGTTTTTAACAAGAACTTATTTGTTAGATTTTAATAAACAACAATGAAGCTCTTTTATAATGACAGTACATTAAAGATTTGAAAAGAACTATAAATAAACTATATTCAATGGCTGCATTTTTTTTTTTCTGAAAGATGCAGTGGTAACCATAACATTTTATTTTAAGATTTAACATTTGTAAATGGTCTAACGCAAGAGCTGTAAAAATTCTGAAAATCTTTTAGAGCTCATAATTTGTTTCAAAATATAACATTACACATTAATGAATAAATCTGTAAATATAAAATTATTTAAGTGACATGTTTGTGTTTTTTGTTGTTGTTGTTCATGTAAGCTATAGCATCTGAACTTTAAATCAAAACATACTCATGATTTTATGGCATCAATTACTACTTTATTTAATCAGAAACACAGTCTAAATATTATATGTGTATTTTGCTTGCATTTTATTAGAAGTAGGCCAACAGCACCCCCTACGGAATTAAAACTCCTTACTGAGTGGGCATTAGGACCTGGGGGAGGCTGCCACTGCACGTGCCATTACTGTTTACTCTATCATACAGGAAGAATATTATTTGTGTATTTTGCTTTCATTTTATTAGAAGTAGGCCAACAGCACCCCCTACGGAATTAAAACTCCTTACTGAGTGGGCATTAGGACCTGGGGGAGGCTGCCACTGCACGTGCCATTACTGTTTACTCTATCATACAGGAAGGGTCATTCTGTACATGCATATTCTCAGTTTAAATGCAGCGATCCAAAACAGTGAATCTAATCATCATTCAGGCAAAACTTTGCTTCAAGAATGAACCACACTGCTGACGTGATGTAATCGCTAGCACACCCTGAGCACATGTGAGTTAATGTATACCTCTTATCGGCAAGACATATCGGCATAATTTTTCATATCGGGCCGATATTTACATTTAAAGCCATTATCGGCCGATTCCGATATCAGTCCGATAATATCGTGCATCCCTAATCCCAAGATTTAACCCCATTTTGAAAGACAAAATATGAAGAGTGCAACCTGTAGCTGTTTCAGCACTTGATAGGCGAGAAGCTCCTGTCTCAGGTCATCGCCACATTTCACAATAACAGACAGAAGACGCCAGTTGGGCAGGTGGCCATAGGGGGAGCCCTCCCTTATCCGTCTATTCAACAACACAGGAATGATTAAATCAGACTAAACAAATGAATGAGAAAACCAACCATGGTGAAGAATGTCATACACATACCTCACTTTCTCCTGCCATGGTTCCTTTAAGGCTACGGCTGAGGGATCCTCTGGGTCCCTCTTAAATGTGGTGGGGGTGTGGGCGAGTTGCTCGGACAGGCGTCGTCTGAAATAACAAAAACATTCCAGTTAAATTAGTATTGTCTTTCTTACTGTTTGCAATTATTGATGCATTATCTCCAAGTCTACCTGATATCTCCAGCTGCAATAAAAATAGGTTCCTTGCTCTCCTGGCTGGTGATGCTATCTACTGAGAACTGGGAAATGTTGTCACAACTGTTGGTGTGGATCTCTGGAAGCTTAAGAACAAAAAACAAAGGTCAGCTCTCTAACAATAGCAAATCTGTAGATGTTACCCTTACAGATGCTCTGTCTGAGTACCTCCACTTGCAGCTCTCCGATGTCATCTACAGACCATGCCTCATCATCGTTGTCATAATTGGGAACCGTGGAGAAGCTGCTGGCACGCTGGTCGGGCGTGATGCCACAATCGGGAAGATTCTCTACAGATCGTGTGCTGCGAATCCGTGTTTCCGGGATTCTCACTGGCACACTTGACGTCTCAAAGTTCTCACATTCTAGAACTTCTACGTAGATTAAGTAAGGTGCCTGGAAAAGCACAAAAAGACAGTATAACAATCTTTAGAAGTGAGATTAGCAAAGAAAGAGTCTTTCAAACCCCATTAGAAGAAACTAATTAATTCTTCCACTTCAAAAGTCTGGATTCTTATCTTGGCACAACCTTACCTTATCCTTCGAGTTGAGCACGACGGCCTGCGTGTGGGGCACGCGCACCACGTGGTGGTCAAAAGCAGCCGTGGGCAGCCAAACCCGGGCAGGCAGCTTGTGGTTGAGTAGGGACAGCTCTGAGATGAGTACAGATGCTCTGTCTGAGTACCTCCACTTGCAGCTCTCCGATGTCATCTACAGACCATGCCTCATCATCGTTGTCATAATTGGGAACCGTGGAGAAGCTGCTGGCACGCTGGTCGGGCGTGATGCCACAATCGGGAAGATTCTCTACAGATCGTGTGCTGCGAATCCGTGTTTCCGGGATTCTCACTGGCACACTTGACGTCTCAAAGTTCTCACATTCTAGAACTTCTACGTAGATTAAGTAAGGTGCCTGGAAAAGCACAAAAAGACAGTATAACAATCTTTAGAAGTGAGATTAGCAAAGAAAGAGTCTTTCAAACCCCATTAGAAGAAACTAATTAATTCTTCCACTTCAAAAGTCTGGATTCTTATCTTGGCACAACCTTACCTTATCCTTCGAGTTGAGCACGACGGCCTGCGTGTGGGGCACGCGCACCACGTGGTGGTCAAAAGCAGCCGTGGGCAGCCAAACCCGGGCAGGCAGCTTGTGGTTGAGTAGGGACAGCTCTGAGATGAGCCTCTGGGTCTTCTGTTCTTTAGTGGGCAGAGTGGCCAGTCTCTTCCCGATCCCCATTAGAGACTTAATGAACTCCCTCTGAGGGGTCAGACGCACAGGCTGAGAGCAGAATGAAGATTGAGAGAGGAAGTAAAAGATGATGGGAAAAGAGAGAAAAGTAATTTTAACACAAATCGAAGCGTATGCAAACAGATTTAGGCATTTGCAGAGGAATTATTCTAACAAAAAGGGTTGCATGATATACAAAATACAAAAAATAATAAAAAAAGTACCACTGATTTAAAATGGTACGATACCAATATATTGCAAATTTTGTTACCTGATAACAATGTGCTGATATTCAGCACAGTTCAGATATTCAGGCAGTGTGACATGAAGCATAAAAAGCAAAGTTAAAGGCAATGTGTCATTTTTTCCAATGTTAAAACACTCCTATCCCAGCTAAAAGGCAACTACGTATATAGTATAAATTATTATTGGTTTTGCAAGTTCACATGTTTAATCTATCACAGTCTGATTTAATATTGATATTAGTCAGATAATACTATCGAGTAGTATCAGAGTTGGTATCGTACCAAAGCCTAAAATTCTGGAGCCGACTGTACATCCAAACTAAAACAATTGCTGAATTTCATTGGATGTATGAGTAATTGCACATAATTGTTTTATTATTCAGCACAGGAATATGTGGAGCATTGCTCAAAACCGCTAAGAATCTGCATGCATGATCAGCACAGCATTCTAAACTCAAAGTGAAGCATGGACATAAAAAAAAAAGAACAAGCATGCATCAGTTCACTGATGAAGACTTGTATATTCATATAAATAAGCAACATGCAATAGGCATTTTTCACAAATAAGGTACAAACTGGTGTCTCGTTACTAAAAAAAAAATAAAGGCCCAAATCCTACATCCACTGGAAAACTATTAGATATGCTACATAAAATACAAAACTAAAAGTAGTTTTTTTAATTTTTTTTTTACATTTTTTAAAATTATTATTACTAAATTATAGTGATGAACGCAATGAATGTAGTGATGACTATCATTCAACCCTGTTCCCAAACGTTTTTGTAAAACGTTATTAAATATTTTTCTCAAAAAGAAAACAAATAGATAATAAATAAATAAAACTGGGGTTTTAAACTGTACTCAGACACCAAACAGAGTTGCAAAAACAATTATTATTATTTTTTTTTAATCATTGTAAACGATACAAATAGAAAATAAATTATAACAAAACATCTCATATATCTAGTTTTATCTCTAGAAGTTGACAAAATAACCTTACTGATAAAAAGACTAAGACATTAAAGATTAAGCCTTTCATACCCTATTTGTGCATGTAAATACCCTATCATACCCTATTTTTCATGTAAAGTGCCAATGTTATGGCCAATTTGTGACATTTGATAGCATGATTGCAAATCTTGAAGGCACACATTTGAAGGAATCTGTGGCGTCAACCCCGCCTGCAAACAGACACAGCCATCATCCCACTACGCACAGAGGAGCGGTATTAGATGGTGAGAGACTTACTGTACCAGCCTCTAGCTCGAGACTGTCGGAGCTGGAGCTCAGATCCTGGGAAAAGGAAGAGGAGGGAGGGGGGAGTTATAGTGCAAGAGCAGGGGAGGGTGGAGGGGGTCAGAACAAGACAAAAACACATCTCAAGGTTACACTCATCCCATCTGTTTGAGCAGCAGGCCCTGGCCGTGGCTCCACAGTAGGGGTCAAGACTTTCTGAAGCAGTGGATGACTGAACAATGCTTTGTCCCTAGAGACAAGTGAATCTAAATGATGAAACATCCCTGTTATCTTACCAATACATTCCCCAATGGTAGGTCTCTTGTGTCAGCTGCAATATGATACTTGTCAACAAATAAAGCTTTGATAATACTTTCATAGCTAAAAACTTTCATGTTTCATAGATTTTATTCTGAGAAAGTCACAGTCGGTTATGTATGGAACTGGCCTTGTTAATACACATGCTTTACAGAGCCTTCAGCACAGACAAATTAACCCCAATTGTCTGATCATCTAATGTCTGACCTTCTGATTCCTTGGTTTGTGTGTGTGTGATGTAATTGAGAGGGACTGAATTAGGGGTCGACCGATGTGTGTTTTTCAGGGCCGATGCCGATTATTACAGACCAAGTAGACCGATAACCGATATTTTGAACCGATATCTATGTTTGGTGTACAAATTAAAATTAATCTCAAAAACTGCCTTCACTGGTGTTGGTTGTACTTCTTACTCTTGTCTTCTTCCATGCATCCATCTACAATAAGGTAATATAAAGAGTAGTGGTCGACCGATACTGTTTTTTTGACAGCCGATGCCGATATCTTGGAAAGCAGGGTGGCCGATGGCCGATATAAAGCAGATAATTTTATTTATTTGAATTAATGTTTAAGAAATTTTAAATCATTTGAAAATGGATTAAAAAGTAAATGTGTTAAATAAATAAACACTGTAACCAACAGGACACTCAGTATTCTGGGAAGTTTGTGTGCATTGGGATTTGGAAATCATATTTTTTTCAAATAAAGCCAAGGTAATACTCATTTTACATACAGCACACAGTGAAAATGACATGAATATGGCAATGGGCAAATGCATAAAGCGCAGCATAATTTAAAATCACGAGTTTGTCGATCGCGCATCTCCAGTGAAGCCGAACTCTCCACCTGTCCGCATTCAATTCGCACGGATCGACCGTCACGCAGAGAACACGCGATCAGGCAGGATACAAATGCACACTTCACAAGATCTCACAACTGGATCCGACTAAGTTTGCAAGCTTTGTGAAATTAAATGTTCATTAGTAATTCAAAGATTTGTTTAACCCTTGTGTTGTGTTCAGAACCCTATCACACTTACGAGTTTACAGAGCAAAAAGGACCCGGCCTCATAAAATTGCTTATAAATCACTCATTATGCTATATTATCACCAAAGATTGGATTCAATCTTTTTGTCAACTTCTTTTCTTTCATTTAGGACTGGTTTTGTATTTATAATTGCTTCTGATTAATCGTAGGCCTCATTTATCTGAGAGTAGACACCTCATTTTTTGAATGAAAAAAGCATTATTTATGAATAATTTTCACAATATTGAATAAAAACCGATGAAAATTTGCACTGTTTATCGCACTAGTGTACTTTAATGTTTAATCAGGGAGTTTG